TGGGAGGGAGGGAGGGAGATTAAGAGTGACCAAAAGCCCAAGGACAGACTCAGTCTCTGCTCCCAGAATCCCCCCCAGCGGCGGAGAATGTGGTTAAGCGGTGGGTGAAACGTACAATCAACAGGAGTGACAACTGCAAAACAAGGTCGTCACCCCTCATTTTCTTGGGGAGACTTTTCTTTCTTTTGATCAGTCTCACAGGGGCCAGACTGGTTGGCAGCTACAATCCCATAAACTTGTCTTATTTCTCATTCACCTGTCATCCTCTAATTCCACCTCTGAGCTCAGGCCACCTTCCTAATTGGGGGTTTCTTTGTGAGATGTTTGCGCTCATCAGATGATTCCCCCGCAACTGACCTTGTCACTCAAAAGCCGTACGTCATTTCAAAACAGGTTTGCAGCTCAGAAGAAACAAGGGGAGAAATAAATTTGATTCTTGTGCATTTTAATTATTTCCCCAGGCACTTCGGCTCTCATTAAATTGCCTTCAGTCTTTGAATGTGACATTTAAACGAAGCAGCCCACACTTTTTTCCTGCAGGTTCTGGTTTTCTAACCAGCAGTACTTGTCACTCCTGACCTTCTAACCCCACTCCACATTGGAGTAGGGGTGGTCCTGAGGGGTTCGAGGGGTCTGTCAATCTAAGTAGGTAAGCGCTGGTGTCTGCAGGAGGTTGCCTTGGCAGCAGCAGGTGCGGAAGGATCCAGACTCTGCCTTGCCTGCCCCGGAGGAGGGCTGGGCACACGCTGAAGCACCTTCTAAAGTTAAAGCGCTGTCAACGCATCAAATGAGCGTTGAGGGCCTTTGTCGTGCATGGCATTACCGCAAGGGGTTTCTCAGCAACCCTAGTGGGAGTTTCCAGAGGACAGGACCTCAGACAGACAGGTAAGTGACTGCCAAACAGTTAAAACAAGACCACAGGAAAACCAAGTCATTCTCAACATCCATTTCTTTACCTTCCAAGTCAGAGTCTTGTAAAACAGGACCACGGGCAAACCAAAAACCATTCTCTGTACTTTCCTAATGGCCCTAGAGAGCAGATGGATCCAAGGAAGTGTAAGTGACACTGCCCAGCACCAGGCAACCCCTTGCTCAGAACTATGTAACTACCTATTATTTGCCTGTGAAATCTTTGTTTCTTTGGTTGAATAGATAACTAAGTGTTATTTCACAGTAACCTATGATCCTATTTGACTAATAGGATCATTAGTTTTAAAACCTTTTGCTATTTTTAAATTTCCCCAAATCAAATTCCAAATGAAGTCTTTTTGACCTCAAACTAACTTGGGATTTTGTAAAAGGCTCCTAGAATATCTCAAAAGATTTTTCTCTCTTCTCATAAAAAGGGAGATGTTACACTAATCAGGCTCATCTGATATGTTAAAATACATAGGAAGTATTGTCAAATCAGAAGTAATACTAAGCTTTCTTTATGTTGTATTAGTGTAAGTATATGTTATAAGCATTCTAGAAGTTATCTGAAATTCCTAAAGTCTAGTATGTTCTGGCATAATGTTATAAAATGTTGCATGTTAAAGGAATGACCAAATTTCCTCGTCAATTCTATTATAATAAAAACTCTCACCAGATCTTCAATTTATAGTTACTGTTTTACTCTGAAGGTTTATCAACATGTTCCTGCAAAGTGCTTTATCTTCAAGGAGATTCATGGAGGGGACCTTTGACAAATGCACCATCCTGATGACTCTGCGATCAGGTAGCAGAGTTGGATGGGAATTTCCAGAACTAATTAAGATAAAATTTAAAAAGCTGGATTAAAAAGGACAAGAATTAATGACATGGGACTGAATGAACTGAGGAGGATGACTATAATTTTTATCCAAATTCTGGACTAAAAGGAGAAGCACCTGACATTGATGTAGACCATTTCTTCCCAAGATGCCAGACCAAGACTTCCTACTTCAGCTAAACATGAAACCTTACTTCTTTTTTTAAAAATATATTTTTATTGATTTCAGAGAGGAAGGGAGAGGGAGAGAAAGAGAGAAACATCAATGATGAGAGAGAATCATTGATCAGCTGTCTCCTGCACATCCCACACTGGGGATTGAGCCCGAAACCCAGGCATGTGCCCTGACCGGAATCGAAACCTGACCTCATGGTTCATAGGTCGATGCTCAACCACTTTATTTTCTTTTCTTTTCTTTTTTTCTTTACTCTGTCATTGGCCAAAGTAAAAGATAATGCCATCACCTGTATGCCACACCCTTGGTAAGGTGGATAACCTCTGGAATTCAGAAAACTATTTATTGCAGGCTAGGAGGAAACCTAAGTAACTCCTGGTTTGAATGAGCAAACGCAACAATTCCTGCAAATGAATCCATTAATAATGCCACCTTCGTGGAAGTGGATTGTGCCTGATAGGATTTACCCTAAAAAACTGTGAGCCCGAAGTTGTAACCTGTTATTACCAGCAAAAACAAACAAAACAAAACAAAACAAAATAAAAAAATAAAAACCAAAAAGGATCAATGAAAATTTCTAGAACTACTACAGAGCGGTAGCTGAGAGTGGCGCTGATGCCTTAAATTTTGATCACATCTCTCAAACGGAGAATTTGATCAAAAGGAAGGAATTGTTAAAAAGAAACAATAAACAATAGGCCCAAAATGGAGTCACTTTTGCTAAGCCCCACCAAGACTTAATACTTAATCTAATTGCAACTGTAGCCTCTCCCAAGAATAGAATTTTAACCCTATCAGTCTGGGACTTCTGGTCAACCCTAGTGAGGTCATCTGCCGGATAAGACCCCCTGCCTTCCCTAAGGCAGTGGTTCTCAACCTTCCTAATGCCGCGACCCTTTAATACAGTTCCTCATGTTGTGGTGACCCCCAACCATAAAATTATTTTCGTTGCTACTTCATAACTGTAATTTTGCTACTGTTATGAATCGTAATGTAAATATCAGATATGCAGGATGTATTTTCATTGTTACAAATTGAACATAATTAAAGCATAGTGATTAATCACAAAAATAATATGTAATTATATATGTGCTTTCCGATGGTCTTAGGCGACCCCTGTGAAAGGGTCGTTCGACCCCCAAAGGGGTCGTGACCCACAGGCTGAGAACCGCTGCCTTAAGGGAAGGTGACCTTGCCTGAAATAATCCACTCTTTTAACTTCCTTGTCTCACCCTGTTTCTGCCTATAAAAACCTTCCATTTTATACAGTTCCTTGGAGCACCTTTCTATTTACTAGATGGGATGCTGCCCGATGCATGAATTGTTGAATCAAGCCAATAAGATCTTTAATTTTACTTGGTTAAATTTTTGTTCTTTAACACATTGCTATGGCGACTGGGGTTTCTTCCAGGCCTATGATTCTTAAATGAGAAAATTTTAGTTCCTTCAGGCTCGTTTCTATGGGGTGTGGGTGTCCCTGCTACAGTCAACAGCTTCTGCCTACATACTAACTAACCTTTGCATTGGATCCTGTTCATCTCATGTGAGCCTTTCAACAAATGGGGCGATAAAACTATTGTTTTTGTCATCCTGTTTTAGAGAAGAGTAACCTGGAGGCTCAGTCATGGCCAGTGGCTTGTTCAAGATCATTCAGCCCACAGGTGAGACAGATGCAATATGAACTTGGTTGCTGACGCCAAAGCCGTGCTTCTCACTCACCTGCCCAGGCCTGAGGCAGAGAGATACAATGCCCACGCTTCACTCTCATGCCCTGCTCACTTCTCATGCCTGCTGACGTGCCCTCTGTGTTTAGGAACACAGACTGGAGCCAGACTGCCAAGTCCAGCTGTGTAATCTTGGCAGATGACTTTGGCTCTATCCCGTTCTGTCATCTGTAAATTGGGATGGTGATTCCTACCTCCTAGGGCTAGTCTGAGGGTCAAATGAGTTAATATGTCAAACTCCCAGACCATAGTAAACACCATATACATGGGAGCGCCTCTTACCTGCTGAACCTCTCATTCATTTAGGGAGTTAAAACTGTAACCAAGGAGAGTCAACCATCCCCCGAGGACCTGGAGGACGTCTACCTCGCATGGCAGGTGGCCAGTGCGATGCCAGAACAAAGCAGTGGTCGTGGAAAAGCGCCTCACAGCCTCGGATACCTTGACGTTCAAAGGCAAGTGTCACAGCTGCGTCTCTCTGTGGTCAAGTCCCTACTCCTGACGTCAACCCAGAGGCGCATGAGCTGACACAGAACCACTGGAAACAGCCTGACTATATAAAGTCTGTTCAGAAAGACTATAATTAAAAAAAACAAAAACAACAAACAGCACGTTTCTCCTTTTCCTGATAGGAATCATTAATAGAAGGAAAAAGTTCCCCCTAAAATTTAAATTCCGTGAGCAACTCAATACCTTTAAAAAGGCATTTAATATTTTGGGGCCTCTGAAAGGCACTTTAAAGTGGCAGGAGACCGCAGTGAAACAGTGGAGAAAGTTGTGAGTTTCAGCAAGCTAAAATGAAACTGCTTTTTTTTTTCTTTAAAAACCCACATCTGAGGGCTGCGAACCATGCGCAGAGCGTCCTACTATTCTGCTTTTGGGCCCGAGGGAGGCCTCACTGCCACCGTGGTAACAGTTCCTGCCGCACACACTGGCACTGCCCCTTTGCTTCCCCAAACTCTGGAGCGGAGCCTCCTTCTCTCACGTGTTTCAGTAAATGGAGAATTTCAGAGTTTCCCTGAAGAAGCCCACGGAATATACTTCAGAACGATAGGGAGAAAAAGAGTCCCACAGTATAAAATCATGGGCACCAGGGGAGAGCGACAGCTTGGCAGCACTTCTTGGAAAAATGGATTCCAAATAGCCAATCCCAAGCAGGGCACTGCTTGTGGGCTTGTTTGTTGCCCACAAGCATGAGCAACAGCGCTCAGAAATGTACATAAGGCACGAGGCTGGGCAGCCGCTGGTCCTGAGTGTGGGACTCAGAGCCTGGGCTGAGGCCTCGAGCAGGTGGAAAAGGTTCGGAAGAGCCTTCTGTCCCACCCGGTGGGTCACAGACACTCGGACTCACCTGGACTTTGGAGGTGGCGGAGGAGGTGAGAAGGCCTCAATCCCATGTCTGTCCTTGGGGAACTCAAAGGCAAAAGAGGCCGATTTGCTCATCCCAGTCCCCGCTTTGTCGTTCTGCCCCGAGGCGCGGTCGGTGGGGCAGAGATGGTGCCAGGTAGAGGAGCTGGAGGGGTCCGCGGTGCCCTTCGCCATCGTCTCTCCTCCCCAGCTTTGACTCAGCAGGTTCTGCTCCACCTCCTCCTCTTCCTCTATCCGGCACTGACGGCTCCAGGCCCCAGTCTGGTACCGGGGCCGCCTCTGGTCCGCGACCGAGGCAGTGGTGGCAGGTGGGGGACACTTGGCAGAGTCGTGGTTGGTGACACCGTTGGCCCGGCAGGAAGAAGCAGGGTCGGCAGGGCACCGGGACGAAGGCTGGGGCCCGGTGCTACCGCCCGAGCTCCCTTCGCTGAGGTCGGACAGTGGGGAGGGGGAGGGTGACACCGGGGACCCTCCGGGGCTCCCCTTGGACAGCTTGGGAGGAATGGCAGGCCTCCCCTTGGGGACGTTCTGGCTCGCAGCATGATGGTGGCCTTCCCTGGAGCCCTTCCCCTGCCCAGCTGACGTCTCCTGGTCGCCTGCTCCGGAGTCCTGGCTCACCGACGGGCGTAGCCACTGCACGCCCACCGCAGAGTCCGGGCTGCTCAGGTAGATGGTCCGGTGGTCCTCCTTCGGGGAGGCCGCCATGATGGTGATGGTGGCCGCCACCTTGGGGCCCACATCGGGGCCTTCCCTGTCCCGGCTACCGCCAGATGCCGCTTTCTGAGTCCAGGTGCTAACCATCCTGCCCTGGCCGTGGCCCTGGCTGGGGCCAGCTGTTGGCTGCTCCGCCTTGCCCTGTGGCCTAGAGGGCACCGGGACAGCCTTCTTCCTCTTGGTGCTCTCGGCATAGATGGGTTCGGGCTGCACAGCCTCCCTGGGGTGGGTGGGGGGCTGGGGCTCCCCAGTCGGCCCAAGGCACCTGTTAGAGGCCACCGCGTGGCAGCCGGAGTCCTGCTGCTTTCCCGGCACAGGCTCCTTCACGAGGGAGCAGTAATCACTCTCAAGATGGGGGGCGAAGGGGCTGCTGGCGCCGCTGCTGGCACTGCCGCAGGACAGGCAGTCCGAGGAGCTGGCCACCTCGGAGGGAGGGGACAGCTTCCGGGGGCCCGGGTGGGGCGGGGTCTGTGCGGGGCCCTGGCCACAGCACTCCCTCGGGAAGCCGAGCACCTGCTTCACATCCTCAGCCGGCCCCCCACACATTCCCTGCTCCCAGCACGTGGGGGAGCGGTCCCCTCCGCCGGGTCTGTGTCGGGGCCCCTCGCCCTGGGAGGTGTCCTTGGCAGCGGGGCTCCTGGGACAACAGTCCAGGATGGAGCAATATTCTCCCCCTTCGCTGTCCCCGGAGGGTGAGCACCTCTGATCGCTGTCATCCTCAGAGGGCAGGGACTCCCGCAGGGGCTGTGGAGAGGGGTGGGTCCCAGGGTCCTTGGCATAGCCAGGTGTCGTCCTGCTGCCCAAGCCAGCGAGCTTCTGGTGGCGGCTCTCCTGGGCGGAGGTCGGCTCTTGGTGGGGAAACGTGGGTTTTCCTTCTCGCCCAGCCTTCTCTTCGGGGAAACTCAGCGGGTGGAAGGCAGTGCTCCGCTCCCCCCGGGCCCCTGGGCTGTGCAGGCCGACCATGGCATACACCGGTGAGCAGCGAGAGTGGCCATCTGCGGGGGCAGCCGGGACAGCAGGCTTCTGGACGCCTCGGAAGCTGCCCAGGCAGACCATCGGCGCGTCTTCCTGCTTCGGGAAGGGCAGCTTGCTGGGGGCCCATCTCCAGATGTCCTACACAGCCCCAAGGTGAAAACGGACATTAGACCTCACCAGAGAGAAAGGGAGAGAGAAACTGTGAGAGGGACGTGCCACGACCTTGCAGGGCAGAGGCTGGGCAGCACGCCTACCTCCCAATCTGCCCGCAGCCCCCCATCGTTGCTGGGGCCCCATGCAGCCACTGGTCTTCCCAGACACTGAGCTGCCCCGCCCACTTTGGTCTGTCATTCTTTGGGCTTAGGTCTGTGAAGCAGGGGAAAAATATCACTCTAAAAAAGAACATTTTGCCTTTCCCCTAGAAACTGCCGGATGAGGTTAGTTCTCCTACGGGCTTTGAAAATAGACTTTTGGATTTTGTTTAATTTTTTGTTTGTTAGTCTTTTGATAACCATGCCATGTGACATTCCTAAAGAAGCCAAAGTTATAAGGCTTTTTAAAACACCTTGGGTGAGTGGCAGGGGCAGGGGCGGGAGGGTGCTTTCTGGGATGAATCGTGTCCAAGAGCTGCCAGTTATAGGCAGCGACCTCAGCCGGGGCCTGCCCAGGTGGCTGGAGTACTTGAACTAGGAAGGTGAACTGGACATTCTCATCACTGAAGTCACTGTCCCCTCCTTCTCTACTTCTAAAGTTCCCCGGACCCCCACTTTTAGCATCAGCTTCAGAGTAGGCCCTGCATTCCAGCTCTTTTCCAAGATGATTCTGAACAGAAAGCGTCCCTGGCTTATGTCTGTGAAGGGTGACCTGGTGAATGGACATGACCAGCTTGCCAAAAATGGAACAGCCCTGCGGGGACAGGGAGCTCGGTGCCACCAGAGGAGATGCCTTTACACAACTGAGCCTCCCTCCGCGGGCTTACCTCTGACCTCTGACTTCCCAGAAGCTCCCACACCCTTCCCGGTCCCCTCACTAGGATGTTTTGGGAAAACTAAAACAGGCAAAGAGGTCACAGAGTTCGCAAGCAGTTCTTAAGACACGTCCCAGACGTCCAGCTCCGTAGACATGTCTGGAGCAGGCTGTCCTATCCATGCCCTCTAAATAATTATGCCTTTGCAAGCACTCGCTGTGGAATGAGCAGAACGGTCTACTCTCTAGGGATGGAACTGTTTTACTTAGTGATCCTAAGTCAAAGCTGGTAAAAATCCAAGCTTCACAACTGGAAATATGAACATTGGCTGGGGATGGGATATTAAGGAACTAGAGGCCCAGTGCACGAAATTTGTGCATGGCGGGGGTGGGGGGTGGGGAACCCTCAGCCCAGTCTGCACCCTCTCCAATCCAGGACCCCTGCCTACCTGATTGCCCCTAACTGCCTCTGCCTGCCAGCCTGATCCCCTTAACTGGCACGAAATTTGTGCATGGCGGGGGTGGGGGGTGGGGAACCCTCAGCCCAGTCTGCACCCTCTCCAATCCAGGACCCCTGCCTACCTGATTGCCCCTAACTGCCTCTGCCTGCCAGCCTGATCCCCCTAACTGCCCTAACTGCTCTCCCTGCTGGCCTGATCGCCCCTAACCGCCTCTGCCTCGGCCCCCACCACCGTGGCTTTGTCCGGAAGGACATCCAGAAGGATGTCTGGTCTAATTAGCATATTACCCTTTTATTAGTATAGATTACTGCTAATATTTTTAAGTGTGATAATGGTATTGTGGTTACAGTTTTTAAAAGATTTCATTTTTTTAAAAAGATGGACCAAAGTGAGGCGATGACTGGGTTTGCTTTAAAATCATGGGAAGGGAGGGTGAGGGGTAGAGATACAGCAAGATGGGTCATAAGTTGATGACTGTTGATACATGCTACATCATGGTGGATGCATGGAATTCATCAGGCAATATTCTCCTTGTGTACACATTTAAAATGATCAATTAAGCCCTAGCTGGTTTGGTTCAGTGGATAGAGAATCGGCCTGCGGACTGAAGGGTCCCAGGTTCGATTCCGGCCAAAGGCACATGCCTGGGTTGCGGGCTCGATCCCCAGTAGGGGCGTGCAGGAGGCAGCCAATCAATGGTTCTCTCTCATCATTGATGTTTCTATCTCTCTCTCCCTCTCCCTTCCTCTCTGAAGTCAATAAAGAAATATATTTTTAAAGAAAGAAAGAAAGAAAGAAACAGAAGGGAAGGAGGGCAGCAGTCAGGAAGGAGCGGTCTCGGGACAAGCTGACGGGCAGTCACCCTGCAGGAGTCTTGCTCTAATAGCCCTTCCTGGCTGCCGGCCAGTCAGCAAGCGTTACCACAGGAGCAGGGCCTGTAAAAATGCCACAGGGGTGAGTCAGGCTCACCTGCGAGGCGTTGGGGCTCATGTTCGCCTCTGTACACACGTCGGAGGCATCGGAGCTCAGCATGGTGGGCTTCACGGCGATGGTGGGCTTGGAGTAGGGCGAGCTGTTCACACCCTCATCTTCCAGGCGGCAATGCTCAGGTCTGGGGGGCAGGCGAGGAGGAGGCAGGCCGCCTGCTCTGGGCTGGGGACAGGTGGGCGACAGCTGATGGTCGCCCCGCAGGCAGAAGCAGTTCTTGCAAGACCCGGGCTTCCAGATGTGCTCCACAAAGTCACTGCACGCAGACATCTTCAGGCTCTCGGGGTTCAGTCGGAGGGCCTGGTGTATCTTGGGTGGACAGTGCGCGGCTGGCTCATCCTGCACCCGGCTCTCTGGCGTGGTCTTGTGGGCGGCAGACGTGGGTCACAGAGCGACTTCCTGGAAAGGAAGAACATGGGTCTGATCAAAGACCTCCCCCCAGAGGACAGGCGCATTTCCACTGAGGGTCTGACTCTTTGGGGAGAAGAGGGGGAGGAAGGAGAAAAGGGGGAGAAAAAAGCTGACCATTAGTATTCCATTTATTCCCAGGCCCTCACCCGTTTCTCATAAGGCTCTTAGTCACTCTCTGGTGACGTGGCCTTATCAGAAGCTGTAAAAACTAAGCGCGACTCTGTTACGTGAGTAGAGAGCATAGTGACGTTTCAGTCCCTGACAATCCTGAGCACCTGGAGGCTGGGGGCAGTCAAGCAGAAGAAATCCCATGGAGGAGAAGCCCGTTATCTCATCCAGGCATCCCTGCCACTAGGGGTCCAGAGCAAATGAGGACTAAGAAGCATAACAGCAAATAAAACCAGTGGCTTCCGGGGGATAAGCCACAATTTTTAACCAACTATGTGAGTGGGGAGGCAAGTCTGGGCCCCGAGATCAGGCTCTCCTCCTTACTTGAGACCAGGCAGAGATGGACGGGGTGAGAAGGGGGAGAGCTGTGGTGCCTGCCTGCCCCCCCCCCCAGGGGACCCTTGTCAGGAGGTCTGGCATCCTGGGAATTTACAGTACCTCCCTCCCCCTGCTTCATATACATCATTCAACCCGGTGCTCGTGTCAGCCAGGCTGAAGCTGCAGGCCAAGGGGAGAACAGACAGAAATGCATAAGCACCTGTGGGCTGGGGGTGGCAGGACAGGGTCCAAGAGAGGGAGGGGAGGATCACACAGTAATTCCCCCAGTGATAACCCTGGAGGTAAGGCAGCCAGCGGGCAGGGTTAGTTGCCTCTGAGAGTAAAACTGAAAGCAGAGCGTTTGCATCCCAGAAACGAATAAATTCACCATTGAGGAGGAGCTCAAAGGGCTGCAGATAGTAACCCATTAACCTGAGTAAAACCCTGTCAGGTAGCTTTATGCCCCTCATATAGACAGGAAAACAATGGCAACCACATAAACTAAGACCTGTTCCTAGACACATAGTTTGGTGGTTTTGGAAAAAGAACTTTGCTGGCAGAGCCTCAAAGCCATGGTCAGACTGGTGATGTTCAACCGGCGTTACCACAGGAGTTTTTAAAACACGAAATACCTGCCTGTTTAGTCAGGGGCACTGTCCTCTTTTCCCTTAGATTGTCAAATAGAAAAAATGACAGCAGCCAATACAACAATAGCCATCCGGTGTGAATGAGTCGAAATTATAGCTGCTTTTTTTTTTTCAGATCAGCAAATAACATATTTCTTGATGTGCCGCAGAATTTCAGTAATTAATAATTTCAATGGTTGAAATGGCTGGGTTAGACTGAAAGCTCCCTTTCCCTCATTTAAAGAAAATGACCTCCTCATAAGGAAGGTTCACGAGAAAATAATTGTTGAGTCTAAAGTGAACAGATTTCCATTAAATATGAAGGGTTTTGCCCTAAGGTTTGCTCTTCACTTTCTTCCCATGAGAATCTGCTTTGAGGCTGATGCTCTCTCAACTATCAACAGGACTAACCAGGTGGAATGAGCCAGGTGTCCCCAAGATCATTCCAGAATCTTTGTGGGAAGCGCTATCTTTCTGATCTCCCACACTCACCGGCAGGAGTGTTTATTCAACAAGGGCTGACGCTCAGTCTGCCTCCTTCCCCTCCAAAGTTCACCTGGAAGCCCACTGCACCTTTCAGCTAAAGGAACACTCTGGAATAAAAGACAAATGTTGGTCTTTGAGCACCGGCTGTCTCGCATCCCTCCCTCTCAGATGACTGCAGGCTGGGCTCCTCTCGCTGAGTGCGCCCAAGCGGCAGGCTCATCCCTTGCCAGCTTGCCCAGAAGAGGTCACTAAGCTCCAACAAGCAGAGGAGGACGGCAAGGATTTTTCTTTCTCCTACAATCTCGGCTGCTAATTTC